AATATATTGGAAGATATTATTCTATTGATAAGATTTAAGGAAATTCCATCAACTGATTTTCATGATAAAATTAAACCTTATAAAAAAGTCTTTATTAAAGAAATATATGAAGAACTTCTTCAGCATCATACTACTGATAATGGTCAACCAAGATTATTACTTTATAAAGGTTCAAGGGCAGAAACTGGAAAAATATTAAATTTACCAATGAAATGTTTAATTTCTAAATGGATTGATGGAAAAACTGAACTATATAATGAAAATAATATTCCCTACCAATTTAAATTAATTAATTGTCAATCTCAAGATGGATTTTCTAGATCTGGTTTTGAGGAGAAATGCTATAATATAGAACCAACTGTAGTTATAATGAAAATTAAAGAAACAGGTGAATTAGTGGGTGGCTATAACCCAGTTTGTTGGAATATAAAGGAAAAGTCTCCAGATGATGATTATTGTATTGAAACAGATAAAAGTTTTACTTTTAAGATTGATGAAAATCAAATCAATGATTCATTACTAAGCAGAGTCAAAGATCCTCGAAAAGCAATATTTCATAATAGGCAAAAGATTGATAGAAATATAGATAATATAAAATTTAATGAATGTTGTATGAGTTTTAGAAGTTTTGCCATGGTTATCAGTATTAATAATGACCCTTTTTGTTATTATGATTTTACTTCTCATTTTTCCTCTTATCAAAATAATTGGAATCTTAAAAATAAAGATAAAATAGTTCATTTGTTAGAAAAATTAGAAGTGTATAAATTAGTAAGGAAAATTTAATAAAATATAAACTTTTTTCTTTTATTTCACCACATGTAGATGATTTCCAGGTAGTAGGTCTGACCTTTATCTCTATGTTAATCGGGATACATACAGCCTTAGCCTGGTGAGAGATAAATATAAAATACATGGATATATATCTGATCAGCTGGTTTGTCTATCTTTAGTGAATTATCTGGCCGACACTATTTACTACCATAAAAGGTAAACAATTTGACATCACCAGGTATATAATAAATGATAAACATTCCATTCTTTTTTAAAAAAAATTCCTTCAAAAATGAATAATATGAGTTTTTCA